CGGCCAAAACACAGAGAGAGAGAGAGAGAGAGAGAATGAGACAGGTATTTTATAATTTATAAATTCAAACCAAAGTATTTAAGGTGTAGTTCACAACAAGTATATATAAATTGGTTGCAAAATTGGCATCAATTGAACGGCAATTATTATAATTATGATCGCAATTATTAACTCCTAATTTGGACATTCATTTCATCGCTATATGCCATACAATCTGTCATTTTCTCGATACAAAACCACTAATCAAAACGTTTAGTGAATTAATATTGTATTAATTTTATATCTTCTCATAAAAGAAATTTATATAATAGTTATGTTTGTAATAAAAGGATTGCATTAAATGCTTGGTTTGGGGTCTGAGAGGTATAGGCAAGTGTTGAGTGCATTCGTCGCCAACTTTTTATCACAATCTTCTATGAACTCAATTCCTGTTCACTATAAGTGTTGTTCACAAACCAATGCCTAACCCTTTGTTAACATTCCTATGTATTTGCATTCATTTGAATAACTATTTTATGCATTAATCGCAATGAAATGCAAATAAACTTTTAATAAGTTTTGTTTTCTTTTCTTTTGATATAAAGATATTTAACTCATAAATAGTTTTGATATTAAATATGGGTTTAATGACCGATAAGGGCCTATATTTTGTAATATAAGTCTAACACTTAATATTGCTTTCGTGTAAAGCTTTACTCTCTGTGTTTTGGCCGCAAATATATTTAAACATTAATTAGCATTGAATTCACTTTGAATGCAGTTATTTAGCGACACAATTAAAAATGCAATTTGTAGTGAATTAGCACTCAATCCACACTTTTAATCAATTTTTTTTACTAAAATGCACTTCAATTGAATGATGCAATCATATAATACGTAAACTCAATGACAACGTATCGACCAAAAGGGGAGGGATTTGTAAATGAGTCGAATATTATTATAAGATTTTAACAAATTGGGCTCAAAATATGACATAAACGTAACGTTGTTTGTGAACACGAGTTATTGTATAACACATGACATGTTATGCAATGAAAATTGAGTGTAAATTGTGAGACAAATGATGACATAATGAGCGCTAATGTGCTCTCAATTGATATGAATTCACATGCATTTTGTGTGACATATGGGCTATCAGTCTGTAATAGTCTGTAATATAACTGCTATTTAAATAAATAAGTCATAAAAGTTGCACAACATTTGACTGCATTTGTTTTTATAACAATTTCATATCAAATTACAAAACAATTAGCAGTAAAAGTGATGATTAGATAAATAACATGATATTCATTGGCATTCAAAGTAATGTTAAATTAATTGTTCAATTCATTGGTCAATGATATGACACTAAATGTGATCCCTTTATAAACAGTTGTCATGAAATATGAGTTGAAATAATCATTAAATAATTACTATTTATTGTTTTATTTGATATAACATTTCAAATGGTGTTTAAAAGCGATAGCAAAACGAGTCTATAATTAAAGTGTGAACTTATTGTTAGTTTTAAAGCTTTTTTACTGCTGAAGACAAAGACAAGTGTCTCACAAGTGATGTCCAAAGTGTCGTTTAAAGAGAGAGTGATTTTAGTGGATATATTGGCCGTAATCTTCGGCATCAGCTCATGGGTCGAAGTGAATGGCGTTTGGGTCGAGACACCCATTTTGGTGCAGAGACTTCCGGAGGAATGGAATTTAGCCTCTTTTATAGTAATGATCACTCAATTGGCAAACATCGGACCCATTGTCTACTCTATACTCAAATTTAAATTCACATTAAAGGTACGAACCGGTGATGCGACCACTCATGTGACCACTTATTGCATTCATCGATCAATTGATAATCTGTTGTATAGTCTGTAGAAAATCCTGCAATACATGTGACTCTATTGATTGGCGCCGTTTCGTGTCTTCTATTGTCACTGTTTTGGGACCGAATCAGTCTTATTAATGGATCCCAACATTCGGTGACATTCCTTCTGTTGACGGCGTTGTTGGCGGTCGTCGACTGCACCACATCTGTCCTCTACTTGCCATTCATGGCTCACTTCAAGTCCAAGTATTTGATGTCTTATCTGATCGGTCAGGGCTTGAGTGGACTCATCCCCAGTATTGTGGCCATCATTCAGGGTATGGATAGC